TATAGATTCTAATGCATTGAACGGAAAAAGCCTTTTGTCCTTGAACCTTGATTATGGTACTAGGGTTAAGCTTATCTCGCTGGATAGTAGGACCATCTCAACTGAAAATCATCCAATTCATCTTCATGGTTATAACTTTACATTGTCGGCGACGGCACTGGGAACTAAAATTCCTATTCATCGAGTTGGATATATTGTTCCAAACTTACAGTTCGTTATCCTTATTTTACACATATTGGCACATAACCTCTTGTATTTTCATTTGATAGAAGAAGATTATGTGACGATTTGTCAAAAATGTATCTACGGGGAATGGTTGTTCATCAAGACGACGTTAACTTGAATACTAAAATGTTCCATTATTCAAATTTTGACAGAATGTAAACAATTCAACAATAACCACTTAAATTAACAAGAAATTGACAGTTAAAAATAAGTTAATAATTCTACTTCTACAATTGGTGTTTAAGTTACAGGGGGGACTTGCAATTAGATGACACAAAAATTACGAATAATTCCTTAAGTACAGGAAATGTTGTCGGATTTTTGTACAGAATTTTGAATTGGAAAAATCACGTGCATGTATCTGTGTTTTCCCTCCTCCATATTTGAATTCAGTCCATCCATTTCAATTTTTGTTCCATGTACTCATAGCATAGTTCAAAAATTATTTATTTGGTCTACTCCCAGCTTTTCCCAAGTCTTTATCATTATTTGGCACTGTCAATTCAAGTGTTAGTAAAATTTTATCTTCTTCTCTCTCTCTCTTTTTTCACTTACCTACTGTCCCAAAAGATTTATTAGTCAATTCAAGAGATAAGTTTTTATATTCAAATGGGTGCGATTTACATACTGTTCATTTGAGATTTAATGTTTGGTGTAATTTAAAAAATTGATAAAAATTTAAATTAATATCAACAATTAATTTTAACTACATTTCATACTATTCATAACTTTTCAACCACGCATTTCATTAACTTTTATCAAAATTGACCAAAATTTGGATTTTTAGCTACACTAAACAGGGGCTAGCGACAATTGTCCAAGATTTCACATTTGGGCACAGAAGTCATTCTATAAGGCGATACGAAATGGGCTCCCATGGTGTAGCATTGTCCCTAAGTGGCATATTTTTTCTTTCGTCCCCATGACAAGATATTTATGTCTTCTTAGGTCTTCGATAATAAAATCAAACACACTAAATACTTCTATGGGATGCACATCGCCTTCATTGCTAGAATAAGGGCCGTGTTGATTTTCTTCATACAGTCCAAACCCCAATACCAGTTTGTAAGTATACCATTGGTGGTATTACCGAACATCCACATAGTCCTCCCATGTTTCAAGGAGCAATTTCACCCTCATTCTATGCCAACAAGCGATTTTAACATTGGTGTAATCGATCTTGAAGTCATGAAAATCTGCTAGATTTTAGAAGAGGTTGTCCAATCGAAATTAAAGTTGGAAAATATCTAAACTAGAATATTAAATCACATAAAGTATATGCAACTTGTAGTGTAACAAAATGAAAGTGACCATAAAGGCAACATAAGTGGGAAAATTAAACAAAAAGGAAACTATAAAATTTTACGTTATTTAAGAATAAATTAGTGTCAAGCATGCATGACATGCAGATGTCTGCAAGTTAGGCAATGAAAGAAAAACATTGTACAAGAAGATGAAAATGTGTGTAGTAGTGTATTTCTATGTGTAAGATCTACACGTCATGCACCACAATTTCGTACTATATAATTAATTTTCCACTATAGATTTTGTCAATATTATAATCTTATTACGCATACCGCCCGCAGTATCATAAGATTTGTTGAATATCATCGTTCATAATATATTAATTTGTTTACCAAACACATAGTGCGTTTGACACATATTATCAAATTCTGTCGAGTTGTAAGATTTTCCACACGATTACTTGGGGACAGAAGTTTCATTCTCGATTAGACATGAGATAAATGATGTACTTATAGAGCATTGCACTACTCCACTACATAAATTAACATGTTACGTACTATCGAACTCTAAGTCTTATCAAGTGGTACGAGAACTGAGCCCCAAACTTAGTCAACGCTCAAGACAAATCTACAATTGCAGCCAAACAAATGTGGTGAATTTGGATCACGATGACTAGAAAAATCATGTTCTTAATTAGGGATAGCAAAGGCGGCAAGGCCAGGGATTAAAAAAGGACAATTCTTGTGATACATTATGGGATCCATAAGGGTCTACATAATGGACACTTTGCGGCCTACAATTGGTTGGAGTGCTGGTCCCACAGGCACTCCCACCAATTGTAGGCCGCAATGTGTCCATTATGTATCCCTTTATGGATCCCATAATGTACCATAAGAATTTTCCATTAAAAAAACCTCCATCTCCCACCTTGCTTACGTATTTATTTTTAATTTTTAACTATTATTCAAATTTAGAAACAGAAAAAAAAAATTAAAAAAAAAATAGTTGGGTTTAGTGGGGTGACCATATTTTCCGTCCTTGGCTCAAATATTATGTCATCATTACTCTTACCAAATATTACTTACCAAACATACATATATCATTTATATTTTGCACTGCTTTAGATGTTCAAACTAACTACATCAATATCCAAAGCTAGCACTCGAAATAAAAAAAAAATGTCCAAAACAAACAATGTTCAAAATATTTTTTTTTTTTAATTCTTCACAGGACGGGTTCCGGTTGGGGCATCCCCGCCTCGCCCCTCCAACCTATCAAGGCGGGTTTTTTTGACGTCACTAGACTCATGTAGGATAATTTTTAATAGTACGTTTGTCATGCATGACTGAACAATACTATATATAAAATAAAAAACCAAAATATTAGAGCCTGTTTGTCTACCATTATTAGGTTGAAAATGGTGTAATAAATAGTATTTTTTGGAGAATGTGTGGTTGAAATTTAAAATAAGTTTATTGGTTTATGTGTAGAATATTTTATTGAGTGAATGTGTGGTGGAGAATTTTACTGTAGCAAACAATGTTTTAGATTAATGGTAGACAAACAAGGGCTAAATTATATTGTACTATTCAATATGGAAAAATTTAAGAGCGGGAGACGCGATAAAATCTTATTCAATTTAACGTATAGATAGTGTTAGAAATGGAAGCATTATAAGCACACTACGCTTTTATATGATAGTTGAGGCAGCTTTTCAAATATTATAGCTATTTTCATTTTTTACTTTGCAAGTGATGTGCGCATTTGATTTTTTTAAGTACAATTTGTTGATTTTGGTCGAACCAATTGGGGAAAGTATGCAAAAAGATTTGTGGATTTTCATTCATGACCTAATTTTCACAAATTAATTATAATGTAAATGCTATACTTTATACAGATTGATCTAAAAGATATGGGGGATTGTGGGTTGTTATACTAGAATGCGACATTTATTTATTAAATATATAAAAAAAAATTTAATTTGAAAAGGGCTTTCCACTGTAGGCTAAAGTCAATAGCATTGTGAAGAATTAGGTCGTTTTTTTTTTTTTTTTAATTTGGGGAATAACCTAAATTTAGGTCATTTTGACACCATGAACGGATTCGGTGAAAGAGGAACTTGAGATGGCAAAAGCCATGGTCATCGTCATGCATTCTCCAAACCCACCTCGAATCTTTTTATTTTTGTTTTTTGTTTTTAATTTAATTGATATTTAAAATAAATAAATAAATAAACGTGATGATAAATGAGGATGTTTTATTTCCGGCTCCACCCCTTCAAAATCTTCGAGAGGGCACGAGGTAATTGACTCGACCGTGGAGCCATCTTTGAAAGTTTATTACTCGACTCTTATGAAGGTTTTCGGCTGTAAGAAATGTGATTCAAGCATGAATCGCAATGAACCAATAATCATCAGGTGGGCTACCACCAACGTAGATCAAGGTCAACCCCTTGTATAGGGTTCCAAACCCGTTCACGATTCATTGAGCAAAACCAAGAAAAATTTCATTTAATGCTTAACTTTGGGAATTTTTTTTTTTTTTATAACCGTGGATGTCCAGACCAGTTTGTGCGCACCTCGACTAATCCCACGGGCCCTGAAATTTACGGCCGAATACTCACCTTAGTGGCTTTGAGGACACTCGAACTGATGACCATTAGGCTTAACTTTGGGATTTGAATAAGTAAATGTAATTTAATTCAAGCTGATGACTATGAAATCATAAATAAGTTATCATATACTTGTCCTTTGGCTTATATGCTTAAATAAAAACAGAAATAGCTTTATGGAGTGAGCATCCCATCAAATTTCTTAAATACATTGATATGCAGACTGCTTCCACGAAGTTTGTGGTGCGTATATGTTTATGTCAATATCTGTGAGACATTGCACATCAAGTTTAATTCTTGGGGCGCGCCTATGACTTTTGTTTAGCATAAGCTAAGCAATGATGCTTAGTAGATCATTTTCGACCTAGGAGGGAGACATCGGACCAGACCTCTAACCAATGAACATGAAGAGGGCACTTGATATATAATATATGTATGTGTATATATATTTTGGCTTTTCTTATCCTCTCATTGTAGATAGAAAAGAATATTAATCTTGAATAATATATGAAATCTTGTGAAAGAGGATATGATGCGCTTTCACATCTCTATTGTTAAAGCCATTAGTGACATAAATAAAATGCAAAATATTGATGTTGAATGACACCTAAGTTTACCATCCAAAAATACTTTCTTTTTTGTACGATACTGCGATCATACAAACCGTACAATTATTTTTTGAAATCCAAGCAACCTTAGACAGCCATATATATATATGTGTGTGTGCTTGACTAAAAACCAATCATATATAACAACCTAGCCAAAGACACAAACTTTGATTGTGAAAGCTGAATTCTGCATTAGACAACACATCAAATACATTCAGCTGTTCCTTTCATAACCTACCTAGTATATATAATCCTAGTACTTACCATTTCACCTAGACAAGGTTGTTCTCGAGTTCTTTGATATATTAAAGATGGTCAAGGAAAGTAAACAGTCAGGAGGATTGGAATGGAGGATTAATGTCCCGAATGAAACTACTTCTAAAGTTTTAGTGCCTGAGTCGAAGTCTCAAATCCGAGTTTGCAATGGATTACGAGGTTTAATAGTGGGGTTCGTGTCAAGAATTTGGAAGTTTTTTCAAAAGGCTTGGAGCATAGCAGTTAGAGAGCCTAAGAAAGCTATTCATGGAGTTAAAGTAGGGATGGCTCTTTCTGTCGTCTCGCTCTTCTATTACATGAGGCCTTTGTATGATGGAGTCGGAGGGAATGCTATGTGGGCTGTTATGACTGTTGTCGTGGTATTCGAATACACTGTGGGTGAGTATTCAAAATGTTTTGGTTCTTGAGCAAGATTATAATACTCGTAGGACATTTTTGGTACACAATATTAGACAATAGTAAATAGGACGACATACAAGATTTTAACTCATTCTTAATAATGCAGGTGCTACACTCTATAAATGTGTGAATAGGGCTACTGGAACTTTCTTGGCTGGAGCACTAGGACTCGGTGTTCACTGGATTGCAAATCAGTCGGGAGAAAAATTCGAACCCATTATTCTTGAAGTCACGGTTTTCCTCTTAGGTAGGTCGAATTTCTCCTTTTTAGATCCGTTTCAGAATTTTTTCTCAATCAATCTACTGTCAGGTTTAATTCCCACAGGCATCAAAACGCAAACATCGTTAATGAAATTTAACATCTTTAAGATATATTATAGTGTTTACCTGTTGCTGAAAAATCATTTACTTTTCTTGCAGCTGCTGCCACAACCTTCTCTCGATTCATTCCAACAATAAAAGCACGATTTGACTATGGTGCCACGATCTTCATCCTCACATTTAGTCTTGTGTCAGTATCGGGCTATCGTGTAGATCAATTGTTCGAATTGGCTCATCAGAGATTATCCACAATTGCCATAGGGATCTCCCTCTGCATCATTACAACCATGATTTTCTGTCCTGTATGGGCAGGAAATGAACTTCACTATCTTATCACAAATAACACGGAAAAAATTGCTGATTCCTTAAATGGTAAGCCCGAAAAAATCACATGTAAACAATGATTATAACACGTTGATTTACGAAAAACGGAAATTAATAATTATCTTTTGTTCGTTAAAACCCAGGATGTGTCGTAGAATACTTCGGAATCAATGCAAATGTAAATAGCAAGGGTGAAGATTCAGACAAAGTATTTCAAGGTTACAAATGTGTGCTTAATTCAAAGGCTACAGAAGAAGCCATGGTATATTCCTCATTCATAAGAAAATTTCCAGCCACAACTTCAAAAATTTTACTCTTCTTTTCAAGTATTTTACTTATGTATAAACTCTGCATCCCCACAGGCTAATTTTGCCAGGTGGGAGCCTGCACATGGACGCTTCAGCTTTCGACATCCATGGAATGAGTACCTAAAAGTCGGGGTGTTACTGCGTAAATGTGCTTACTGCATTGAGTCTCTTAATGTTAGCACAAACTCAGACACAGAGGTAATTAAACTGTCTTGTTCATTGTTGTACAAAATGCCTTACTAAACAAGCCAACACTGCTTTACTTTTTTAGTCCATAGTACTCATGTTGTTCGGTGTTTTTGCAGGCACCCGATTTCCTAAAGAAGCATTTCAGCAAGTATTGCATAGGATTAAGCTCTAGTTCCTCAGACGTGTTAAAAGAATTGGCAGTTACTATGAATACAATGACAAAATCGACAAAGATTGATCTCATGGTACATGAGATGAACAATGCAGTACAAGAACTTCAAGGTGCCCTTAAGTCCCTAGAGAAACAACCAATTATTAAAGACTCCAAAAATGGCACAGAAGAGGGAAACAAAAGTAGTACTTTCATAGTACCTCTCATGGAGATGGTTCCAATAGTTTCCATTTCTACATTGCTGACAGAAATTGCTGCAAGAATAGAAAAGAGCGTGGAAGCCGTAAATGAACTTGCCAACAAAGCAGAATTTGAAGAAGGTACAAAGAAGTCGAAACAAAACGAAAACCAACAGAATTCAAATTAGTTGTCCGTGATCGTGTTTTAGCTTTGTAACTTCAGATACTGTACAGTACAGATGATGATTTAATTCTGAAGAAACATCGAGAAATTTGGGCTTATATGGATCACACTAATTAGCATCAAGACACCCGCAGGGAAGAGGGAACATTGTTCATTAGAAATCAGATGTTCCAACTTTTGATGTGGGATTCACACCACTATGCAATTTTGTTACAAATTTTCTTCTAGGCATTCTGCATTTCAGAATATCAGATGAATGAATTGTGTTATCGCGTAGACGAAAGTTACAGTAATTACTCAATTAGACGAGAAGAGACCAACGTAAAATTATAAATTCCGAGGCTTTATCGATTAGGAGCCAAGAGATAGTACAACATGAAAATATACGGGTGGAAGGAGATGTGGCTGGATTCTGTTGAAAACAGGGTCGTACGAGATTTTGAGGTCAACAAGTCTACAACAAATAAATACACGTGTTAAAGGAGAGGTGGTAGGTTCTGTTGAACAAAGATCAGATTTTTATACAGAATTACATTTCAAACTTTAGCATACATGATAATTACTTGTGTATCCATAATGAGAACTGGGTGAAGAAACAAGAAGACAAATACAGACAGGGAAAAAAAAGAGCAAATAAAGCACAATAAATCTTTAAAATGAAAACAAGAAGAATCAGATAGAAATATCGCAGAGAGGAAAATGCAAACAAAGCCCAGACAGCGGCTTTTTTTTTTTTCAATTGTATAAATTAACCCCACTTTTTCTGCATGCACTTGAAAGAAAGCTACCATTTTTCAAATCTTGATTAATTTTAGTAAAAACCCACAAAGAATTATCAAAACCTGCATTCTGCAATTCAGATTTCAGTAAAGACCCCTAAGAATTAATCTATTTGGATGTTGAAGAATATTAGTAGATTTACTTATAACCAATGGCGTTTTTTAATGCGCTTCTCCATGTTTGTCCTTCTCTTCTTTGCCCTTTTGAGTCATGGATATTTGTGGGTGTATAGTGGTGTGCATGTTTGGCTAAGCTTCAAAGTTTAGTTACAGGTACTTATAGAAGTTTTAACTTTCAAATACATTAGTTTAAAGTTCAAAAATAATTTTTTTTTTTCCCCTGCGTGGTGGAATTTTCTCTCCTTCCTCTGTGAAGGTTCTCTTTCCTTCCGTCCGGTGAAGGCTTTGTTCGGTGTTTTGCGCGCTCGTTGGGGGGTGGGAGCTTAGGCTCCCCCCTTTTTCGCTTCTTTCCCCCCTTCCGTTTTTCTCCCTTTTTGTTGCCCGTGGTTCCTCTGTTTTGCAGGCGCCGTGTTGGGCGGGGTGGTGGTGAGGTCGGCGAGCTCTGGTGGTGGTGTTCTTGTGGGCTTTGGTCGGAGAAAGGGGAGGGCGAGGTTTGGCTGGTGCGAGCGGCAGGCCTCGGTCGTTGCGACCTCAGGTGGCCGAAGTCGGCATGGGTGCTGCTGCTGTTGGGGTTTTGCCGGCGTGCCTTTTTTTTGGCTGGTCTTCAGCGTAGGCGAAGGTTGGGGATTGGTGGTTGGTGGTTTCTTGGTTGTTGTTTGGAGGTGTGTGTTGGTTGTTTAGTTTTGTTGCTGTTGTTTCTGTTTGTGATTAGTTTATGTTGTTTGGTTTGTGTGGTTGTTTGGTCGAGGTGAAGTCTAGACAATGTCCGCTACTTCGTGTGCGGGGGTGCTCAAGTGCTGATTGCGTAGTTGGCTTTATGTAGGGTTGTTCCTGCA